TCCCACGGCAGATTTTATTGGGAAAGACGTACTACATAAAGCCTACCAGTATCACAATCCACATCCATGTGCCCACTTAAGATTTAATACATCTGAAATCCTATAGAAATCTTGCACAGATTGCAAAATAATTATATTGCTGAACTTTAAATTACTCCATCTGTTTTTATTTTTGCAGAAGCTTTTACTCGCTTGTTGACTGCTTATTGATATAGAACATTCTAATAGTTATATTTTACCATGTAATTTTTAGTTTGTCTTGTGTCATTACTACTACCTCTTATCGATTTGCTTTAAACAAATTGTATATATATTTAAAAATCTTGTGTTTTTATTTTTTAAAAGTTCGTACAAGGCGAAAAGTCGGAGACCTTAACGCCATTTACTCTTGCTCTTCGAGCATTAATCCGCTTCGAAGACCTCTATGCTAATAACCGAAGAAATTGCTTGACTGAAATCATTAATATTTGTCGTTCGTGTAATCATAAAAAAATACCAGACTATAAATCAACTCGTTTAAAATTTTATATTGGATTGAGTTCATACGTCAACAGTATTGATATGTTTTGTTGGTCTCCTGGTTCACGAGATATTGCCTTTGAATTTGTTCTAGCTTGGAGTACTCTACTCATGAATGAGAGTGGTTTACAACATATTGGCCGTAGTAATCTTGCTCCAGAATCATTTGGTGTGATTGAGAATTGGGCCGAATATTTATCAACGGGAAAATTAAGTTCAAAATCTTCTAGATTTATTCAAGTAGAACCAGACCATTCTAGCTTCTTTCAGGAGGTATTTGTTGATAGTTATTTTGCTTCGTGAATTATTAGTCTGACTTTGAGTTCTTTCTATCATGTTTTGTAGTTAATAATGTTTATTTTTGTCATTCTTTATTCGGATACAGATATTGTTACAAAGGGGCACCAAATACATATATGCCACACAATAACAATAAAAATGTGAAGAGATGTTGCGGGTGGCAGCAGACCAGTTGAACTGTCCCTTGAAAAACTCTGCCTATCGTCCAAAACGTTGGTAGATGTTAGTGATTGGCATCCCGCCATCTTCACATATTGTTTCGCTCACACCAGACATCTTGTTGCCAGTGTCTCAGATAAGTTGAACTTCCGGCAGTTACCAGATACAGCTGCTGTTCCTACTGATTGGCACGCTCCGACCACCAGGCTTCTCGGTTCTTCCACAAGCTTTTCGCAATTTCATTACGTAGCAGTCTTCATTTATGGTCAAACTCACGGTCACTATGAGTAGACCGACGGGCCATAAAAAATCCGATGCTTATAAGCGGGACGTTTCGCAAAGCCGCAAGCGACTTTACTCGCCATTCTCATGACGTCGTGCATTTGCAACCGATTCTCATCTATACTTTTCTGTGAAGTGGTAGCTAGCCTTGAATCTAGCTCGGTTTGATATTTAGTTGCAACCAATTTACTGACATTGATCCATTTAAAACGACGAACTCGATGGCCACTGAAAATTAAGGTAAGATTGGCGCAACCAAGGGTATGATCAGAGTCCAGATAGGTACCCCGGAAGGAGCGGTAGTCTTTTACATAACCACGCCAGTGGTAACTGACCGCGATGTGATCAACTTGAGTCCAGGCTTGAGATGCAGAGGGAGGATGCCAAATTGAGAGGACTCTCCCCGTCCTCGGCCGTGTCGGGGCATTTGTCAGGAAAACATGATATTGTTCTACAGAATATTTTTGATAAAGTGTTTCACTTATTTATTTTAACGCATAGATATTGGTACAAGGAGGCACCAAATACATATGCGCCACACAAATCTCACTTGATATGTGTGAGGGCTGTGATACTGACCGGGTGCCCAAACCGAAGCAGGTGGTTTTCTTAGGGGGCCACACCCAGAGCCTTCGACCTGAATGTCTGACCCAAAAGGCAGTGAAGCGTCATAAAGAGATGCAGTCCCATGGCAGCCGGTGACCAACGATTGGTTCATACGCCATTTGTTCCTTCAGGATACTGGAGCCCATACACACCATTGGTTTGGGATCCGGTTAAAGCTCTGGACATTCGCTTTTCGTCCTCTCATTTTCGTAAACAACACCCCGGCCACGAGAAGGCAGTGAGTAGGACTTCCCTGGCAGAGGCTATGTACGCGTGGCCATGTGAGAGCATTTCGAGAGGGAGAGCGGACTCTCCTCACTCTCGGCCCTGCCAGGGCACTTACGACATTATAGGCAAGTGAAGCAGATACTTTCGAATAAATATCGTAATCATTAAATCGTAACTTTTTTTTCAATTAACACTAATATTCATAAAACTTGAGCTACCATAACCTATTTATCTAAGCTCATTATAAGTAGCAGGAGTAATTATTTAATGCCGTTATCTAATTAAGTTTTTTAGGGTAATGGCAGACATTAAAAGCAAGTATTGTCTTTAGTTTTTTAACTGTCCTATACAGTGTTTGTTTTTCCACGCTGGCAACATATTAATGCCTATGAAATTTAAGTTAAAAACTAAACTATATTTGCAAGTTTGGCTAAACCGGGTTTCGAATCTGTAAACTAACGACTAAAAGCCAAAAACTTGACGAATTGTGCTACTGCCGTACTGTATTATATATATATATATATATATATATATATATATATATATATATATATATATATATAAATGACTCTCTGTGTTCGATCATCGTTGTCTTCGAAGGATTGCTAACATCCAGTGGCAACACCATGTTAGTAATGCAGAGGTTCGGCATCGTGTGTTCGGGCACAGAGACGATAATGCGATTGGTGTCACTATCTTAAAACACCGACTTCGGTGGCTTGGACATGTTCTACGAATGTCGTCCCAGAGAATTCCACGTCGTGCATTATTTGCCGACCCTGGGACTGGTTGAAAAAAGTGGAGAGGTGGTCAGTATATGACATGGTGTCGTGGTATGAAAGAAAGCTGCAAAGGGCTGGTTTCTGTTGGTCCTTCACGACTCCCTGGCTGAGGTCCGAGAGATGCTGTAACACAGTGGCTAGAGACGTTATCAGATACGGCTCAGAATAGAAGCCAGTGGCGATCCTACTGTAATCTTCTCTTACTTTCCTCATAAAAAGTGGCTGTATCCTCCTTAAATGTAAGATTTCTTCTGAGTGTACCTTTTCGTCTCCCCCCATTATTGTGTTTTTTTTTTTAATTTTATAAGCCCCTTCGCTCCTTACTTTTTTTCCCTTCTTAAATTCTCATTGTTTTGTGTGGCGCATATATATTTGGTGCCCTCTTGTACCAATATTTTATGTGTTCAAATAAATAAACAGATTTAAATGATTGTCAATTTTGATAGTAAACTGTTCAAATGTTTATTATTTGAACACAGTAAACGCGTAATTTTCTCTTGTCTTTTTTTATTAGCTTGATTTATCTAATGTTTGTGAAAATCCTATACATCTTACTACGAAAGAGATCGTTATAGCCAAAAATACTGAAGGAGAAACTACTAAAGATAATCTTCATAGCAATTTTAGGCATAGATCGGTAACTTTAATTATCGATACTGGTGAATCGTGTACTGTAGAAGAAAAATTGATGAATACAAATTCTGAGTTGTACAAATTGAGCAAAGTATGGGAATCTGTTGTCGCTAAACAACTAGGAAATGTGAACAATACGATTGTATATAAGATTGGCGAATCACTTGACTCATTGATCTCATCAATTAACAAGTATTGGGGATATAATCGATGTACAATATGTTCAGAAAGTAACTAGTATGGAATTTGATTCAGTCTTCTTTTTGTTATCTGTTTAATGTCGAGTGTTTTTCTAACTTTCTCCGACCAAAGTTCACTTAAACAATGCCAGTGATTATCTTACTGATGTTAAATATTTTCTTTACTAATCATATGTTCAATACATCGTTTTGTACCATGCTATTTATGTTTCAAGTGTTACATTTCTTTAAAAATAAATTTCATTTGTTTTTTTACAAATATATACATTACATGTTCTCTTGAATATTATATATATAAGTTGTCTTTTGTAGCTCATTGTATGGGGATAATAACGGATGCTTGAAATGTATTAGAAGTTGAATGGAATATATTGTTGAATTCAGAGGTAAGAATAGTTATTAGAGTTCTGTGTCTTATAGTGGACTTAATTAGACATATGATCAAAATCAAGTGTTTGATGTTGTCAGTGTGGGATCTTTCAAACACTGCATTCATGGATATCACATTTGAATTTACAATGTTTGTATAAAATAAGATGTACTACGAGAGGTTTTTTTAAATAATTACAAAACTCCGGTTTTCTACGAAAAATTCGTTTTAGGCATACCATATCACTTATTAAAAACTGCCGATCCTATAATTAATTAAAGCAGATGAAATGTTCTTATTGACGTCTCTTAGCCCATTTCTGGGTGTGACTCTAGAAATTAAACAAATTGGTAACCTGGAGTTTTACATGAGACTGGAATAAACATAATCTGGGTTTTGGATCATTTTACCCATTAAGTTATTCTGTCAAATTATGTACGTGTTAACTTGTACATAATATGCAGTGGTGTTCATTTTAGTAGCCCTATATCTAAGTCCAGTTAGATCAGACAAATGATTGCTGTCGAAATATACGTCTTAGTTGCCATCGTATATAATTATTGACTTAAATCGCGTTAATGAGTAACAATCAAATATGAGAATGAATTTCGATTACGTGTATTTCATACAATCATTGATCCAGCCACACGATCGGAGGAACGAAGAGAAGAGAAATGGCGCGCAGTAGAGAAGGCATGTAAACCTACTCGATTTAACCGAGTGTGCATTGATATTTGTAGTGAGACAAAAATAAGCCACAGACATGTGATAAGTAAAATAAGAAATGCACACATACCCTTACATAAGCAGATGATTGACAGTGTAAGAATGAATGAATTGAGGCTAGAATAACCTGTGGGCTTGACATAATACCAAAATTCATAGGACTAGTGTGAAAATGTTGACATTAAATAAATCTAGTTCAGAATGGTGTATATATTATTTATTTAAGTCATTGAACGAATATACAATGAAAGTTTACTATATATAATGTATAAAAGTTATTTGACACATGCACACTGAGTTATTGTGTTCATCAATACGGTACAACTCGACGGGCACTTGTTTTGTAGCTATAACGTCCATCAGTCGACTTATCGATTCTTGACTCCTTACCAGATTCTGATTTCTCTGCTCTATCTTGGGAAGGTAAATTAACATTGTTTACATGTCGACGATATTTAGAAGACTCCAAATCAGGATTGTTATCATTATTATTGTTAGGAGGATGTTCATGATATTTTTCATGTGAACGACGATTACGAATGATAGGATTAGTTTGTTTTGATAAACGACGACTCGATTCTAGTATTAATGAATCGTTTTTAATAAATGCAATATTCGTATCAGTTAAAGGTGGTGTGATAGCTACATCAATCATATCTCCAATTGTAAATTGTACATCCTATTAGTTGGAGTTATTAAAAAAATGTGGATATTGCAATTTTAGTAAAGATAAAGGATAAGATAAAAACACTACATTTAAATTTATTCACCTAGTAGAAGGAATATGTATTTGCAGCTTTTCATATTTAAACAATCGAAAATAGGCGGAGTGGTATTAGAAACAATATGATCGAATAATCGACAGTTAACTTCAACAATTAAGTCATCACTTGGTGTCTAAACAAATCGACTTCTGATGACAGCTGTGGATCATGTTTTTACTACGACTACTTGGATTTAAGTAAGGGGATAGTATCAATAGGCACTGCTAAGATATTTCGAGCGCTTAAGTCATAACTCCCCAAGAAATCGATTGTCCCTTTGGGAGTACTCGAAGTCAAGTATTTAATTTCCATCTTTAATAGTCTTTTTACAATAACAAAAGGAACTATGTGTCTACAAAGTCTAATTGTTTTATAGCTCTTTGATCACCATCCCAGTATCCTAATCAAATGCGTATACTTTCTTAACTTGTATTCCATTTAAAAACAGAGCTAGGAAATCTAGTCAATTATCATTACTTTTTCAAATGTACTGAGAATAGACTGATGCAACTGAGTTGACTTCAAGAATTGAGTGATCAGAGGGTCACAGAAAAGCATAATTCTTTTATCAAAAACTAGAATGAAGAAATTGCAAATGGAAATCAGTTTTATGATTTAGAGGCTAACTACAATACGAATAAATAATAATTAAGACAATACTGTACAGCAGAAAAGTTCAACTTGAAAAGTGAAAAAATCTACAAGATTGCTAAAATATGCTCGTTATATCACCATAAATAGGGGGTAGTGTTGTCAGTTACGAAGTATGGGAAATAAGATGTGCGCTTATATAATGTGGATCTGAATATTTCCATAGTCTTGGATACATTTACATTGCCAATAACCGATTATACTTCCTCAATAACGAGGAAACAAGACAATCTGACCTATTTATTATTTTACCATAAAATTAAACCAACCCATACTTTCAACATGATACGATCTGTATCGGAAGGAGAACCAGAACAAACTGTACCCAATTCCCGCATTCTGTACACTGGTGAGCGATGGTCCGGGAAAACCAAGGCGAAATCAAACAACGTTCCTCTTCGACGGGATTCTGGATTAACTTGTTTAACAAGAGATGCAAGTTCTCTTAGAGTAGCATCAAACCTTTAAAATAAGACAGACGTAAGAAAACTCCAAATTAAATAGATATATCAGCTTAGAACCTTGAGCAAAGGCGCATTGTTTTTAATTACAGGCTTCAACATCACAGAAAAGTTCCAACTCGTGTAATCTAGTTAGTGCATTTGAGTGCCTATTTGACTCATCCTTACTGACTTCTAGAACCAGAAGTCTTACCACCTATCAAAATCTCGGCTTTCGTAATAATCAGAAGACTGGTATTATTAACATATCTAAATTCCTGATGGATAATAAACTGCGGGTTAATACAACTATCTAGTGAAATATTCAGCTAAACATCTCAACAATTTGCTGCAAACCGATAACCTTGCTCATTACTGCTTTTTTCTAGCTAGGTTTTCTATGAACCGTATACGAAACCAAAGAAATTCTCACCTATTTTACTTTGGGTGTGAAAATTCTGATAAAATTTATATAGCAAACATTTAGTTAACTTGAGTTCATACGATTATTTAAAAAGAACTCTGTGCATCAATTGGTTGTCAGAGAAATATAATCTTTGGTTGTTATTTCTCCTACTTTTTTAACAGTGGGCAGAATATCTCTTCGACATAAATTGAGAGAATCAAATTTGTGCTCCCTGGTAGTATTTTAGAAAATACTAATTAAATGCCCTGTTATGTGGAAGAGTTTTTCAATGTCAGGTTATAAAATATCTGCCCAAAGTTATAACTAGGCACAACCAAATGTCTATCCGAGGAACGTTATTGTTAGTCAACCGGAAAGTATTTTTGAAGATATTCGAATGGATTTGTAAGCCGGGAAGTACCGGATTACAACTTAAGGGACCGAAATTTGAGTTTAGTGCAGTGAGATTACGAATATCCTAACCAGAGTCCCAACAATACCTTCTCATAGTTCCGCATCAAGTCCTAGTCAGTATGTGACTAATCACGATTGTTCTAAATTAAAGGATAAATGAAACGGTCAACAAGGTCAAATAATACTTCATCGTGCGATTTAAATGTCATATTTAGCGGAAAGATTCAAGTATCCAAAGATAGTCGATGGTCAAGTGTTACAATCACAGTCAGTAGATTTTCAGCTTGAGGAAAAACTCTATTATCACTTTTGCCAAACTATTGAAGCAGGAAGTTTAAAATGAGTAATCAGAACATTTATTAATGTAAATTCCCCGCAAGCGGATGGAAGTTATCGATGACCAATATTAAACATATTGCGCCCCTATCGTTTTAAGAACATTCAGTTTTAGAGACGTAAGGCTCTCAACGGTACAAATTTAGTAATAAGTCTGGACACACTTCCGAAACAAGCTTGATAGACTGAGAGTAACATTTAAGTGAGTAACGGATATTTTGCTTGTAGTGATATCCACCCGGTGGGATAAAATACACATGTAGGACTGTGCTGTTGGCTATTATCCGATCATGGGAAGCCATCTTTGTATATTTAACTACGGTCCCACTTTAATTAGGACGTCACAGAATATGTCCTACTTATTAAAGCAAAGTACAAATATGTAGTCATTGAACTATGTAACTTATGAAACTCGGCAGAGCATATCAAGTGAAGGGACCTGGGTAATGGTCTTAAAATTTTGTCATGGTCAACAAGTGGAAATAACCAAAAAGTTTACGTCAGTTGAAACCACAAAATAATGTAGAAAAAAACCTCATCAGTGTATAACGACGACTTTTACCAAACAATATCTCATTACCAGGATATTTTATTTGAAAACACTCACCACGTATATACTTGAAGTTCATTTATTGGAGTACGACCTCTAGAATACTCCAAAACGTTATTATGTTTCTTTGTGCTGCAAAACATTCTTAGCAACAGTGGACATGTCTTTTCGCGATTAACACTGCTATCATCTGACACCGTCATTCTAGTAGGTCAAAAACAACTTATCTAATATTAACCTGAAGAGCTAGTATATTGCAGTTGATCCCTTGACGATTGTTCGATAATGTTAGGCAGCGACCTCAGATTTTTGGAGTTGTTTCCTGTGGTTTGCAACTCAACCAGACAGCAGGGATATGTTTAGTAAGTTACAGAATAAGTAAAAATATGGGGAAGTTAACGCCCAGACCGAAGGTACGCTGCGTGTAGAGGTGAGTGTGAGGAAATCTGGATGAGAAAGAATCAAGAAACAAAATTCAACCAATAACTTATTAGAGACATAGGAAGCAATTACACTAATTAATGAACGCGATCGATAGCAAGTAGCAATAAAACAAGAGTAAAATCAACACAATATGAAAACCCCAGCCGATAGTACAGCAAACCCTCTGGATGCGCAACAGTATGGTTTGTCCAGCCGCTCAGCTGCAGCAGTCCAATATCCAATACTTTCAGTGTAAACAGAAAATAAGATTTCAAATTTTCCTGCATAAGATCCTATGTTTTCTGTATTTTTATATTTAACACGCATAACTACAATCTCTTTATATTTTATTTAAATGAGCAGTTTTATTAAAATAGCTTATCACGTTTTTGTGCCATTTTTCGAAAATTTCCCCAAAATTGAGAGCTTGGGGTAGTTCGCTGAAGCCAGAAGATATTTATTTTCTCGGTATTTTTGTCTGCTCTGATATTGCACTACTGAAAGTTTAGTACTACTATTTTTTATCGAACTGCTCACTTGTTCAAATGTTTAATCGCACCAGGATCAAAAGCAATGTCAGCTTTTTATATTCTCTTGATTCTAATGATTCCACAGAAATTCGGGGTCTGGCAACACTTTTGTGTATAAAAAAATTTGTAATCGAAGGATATTTGGCTTTTGTATGAACTAACAGTTCTTTTGTACTTGATGTATGCTTGATTTCGAATTCCAAATACAATACGTTCGGTCTAAATTGTGCTATTTCGGGGATTCCAAGTTTTTATAATAATTCAAATACTTCTAATCATCCCAGGATACCAGCCTAGTCAAATCAAAAGTTGGGGATGAATGCGTTCAAAGATATATTCGGAGGGTTACTCACATTCTGAGAAGTGTTTGATCAAAGCTGGCTAGTGGTTGCAATGGTTGTGTAATGCTGCGTATCTACTCTGGTGCGGGTGTGTGGACGAACACCTTCAGCTAGGCGTTTAAAGTTAAACTTATGAGATTAGCATCAGTGTCGGAGACTTACAGGATCATTTATTGTGGAAATTTTTGTGCCGCCAGAGCTCACTGTCCGCTAGTGTGGTGGCGATGACTCTACGACATGGCTGGTCAGAATTTTATAACCAACGAGCTTGCCGTTGCACACTTCTGAAAGATTCGTATGTACAGGAGCATCTGGTCGTATTTCTTTAATATGAGCGGACATATGGTTCAATATAAATCAAAAACTGTAAAACGAGAATTTCTACTGATCGTATTCTTCGACGGCCTTCTATTCATCCCCGTCATCCTGGAAAAGAAAACGAGTGAAAATGTGGGTGCTTGTCTTAACCCTCGAACCTACATAAGGAAGCAAATTATACGGAATGTCCTGGTATATAAGCTTAAATATATCATGCATTGGAGTAAAGGATTTGTCACTAAGGAATTTTTTTGTTTTTTAAATAGATAATACACGAGTAGCGACATTACTCCCAAACCACACTATCTTTGGAGCGATGCATATAATTACTTATAAAATTGGTTTCTACATGCAACATTGTAAGAGGATCAACAATGGCTAACGCGGCAACAGCCAATCGAAATTGTGTGGCTCGTCCATGTAGGCGCGGTCACATGACCCTTATTATCATATCAAATATATTACCGTTCTTCAGAATTCCTGATTATCACGATCAGTCAGTGTAGACAATGATGTGAATTCCACATAAAATCTTATAGATTAGATAGTCAAATCATGAGATACCAACATTTATGCGGTTATTTTTATTATAATAGTAGTACTAATACAGAAGCAAACCATAATTCTACGTAAATGCTAAAAGAAATGATATTTTGACACAGTAATGTGGAAAAAGCAGAATTCAACCAAACAATCGCTGAACTACGACACGAGATAAAGCAAAATGCTGTACTCGCAGTAGTTGTTTAATTGTTTTGGAAACCTTACCCTTTTTACATAGCGTGTCATTTCAGGCCGGTTTTGGAATATCGGCGTGGTATCTTCATGGTTATTGATAATCGTGGATGGAATCATAATTATGAGGCTCGTAACGTTCAACAGATCAGGAGGAAAATCACCCGAATTAGGGTTTCCTTATAAATAATTGGCTTCAAAACTGTTGGTGCTGATGTTATTGTTAGTTCCATTCTAATTAGTGGTATAGTACTTGAGTTTGCGATGAAGGGCTTTGAAGGATCCTTTATATACAGACCTAACGGGTCGTCACATCGAATGGTGACGGACACAAACGTATGTACTAAATTTTAAGGTGGGTTAGACGAAGGCATCAGTTGACAAAAGTCGAGTGAAAGCAGATTCGACTGAACTTAGCCTGACTGTGTTATAGTTTACACCCACATCCACTCGAACCATCGTGGAAGTAGCAGTGTTATTTAGTAAACGAGTTGTGCTGAAGTGCGTCAAGCGTCATATTTCAGTGCATTGCGAATACCGATTAAAACAAGTGTCAAAACTAGAGCGTCAGTTGACTGTCATGTTTGTTGCTGAGGCTAGGTCTTTCAACTGTCGATGAATTAGTTCTACCGACCCGAGTATGCTTTTGAATCTGGTATGGGTCCCGAGAAAAAATTCTAACATTTGATATTGTGTAAGTGATTTTATAAGTCGTTGTGCTTTCTGTCTATGTAGTTACTATTTTTGTACCTATTCCAGGACGGCTATATTCGCACTATAATCCTCATGTTTCGCTGAAACACAGAGACAAGATAATTTCTAGTTTCTAACTTCGAGTTTTGAGTTTTTTGATTTAATTGTGATACAATTTCTGTTGACTCAAATTCATGATAGGACCATATTATTTTCGTTAGCATGTTAGCAGTACTGAATGTGGTAATTGAGCTGATAACAAATCTTTGCCCTCAATGATCATATTTATATGATGGGATTAAAAAGCAATATTGCATTCTTTTACTCACTGTATTTTTGTTTAGCATTACTTCCCTTCTAATCCAATGCTATGGCTACTCAGAGCCGAATGTATGTTGTTTTCCAGTGCGATATTTTGTTCGGCATAAGATTAATTTATTTAAGTGTGATGTTTGTTCGAGATAAGATATACTTGTATTAAATTAGTAAGCACTATGCCCAGTATGACACGCACAATACGGTGTTGTTATAACTTCGGGCATTTTTAATCGATGTGACTTTATTATTATTAATAATCAAAATGGGTGCACAATCAATGTACTAATGAGTGTATTTTCGACTAGGATTGTTGTGTATTGGGTTTAATAAATTTTTACTTATACCAGTCTTAGTGTTCTTACTTCGCGTCGTGGGAATTGAAGTAGTTCCTTCCCTTACTAGTATAAGTAATATGTGATTTCGTCATAGCAATCAGCGACGACCAGTACTAATAATTGGTGACGCATTCATAAAAGTTGACGATTAGCTATAACACATAAATCTACTATGTAAGATTATATTGATGACCTAGTTCGCACACGGTGAACTGGAAGTCGATCGCTCCTACATACGTTTCCGTGCCACCAAATACTCCTTTTTTGTAATTTTTTACCAAATAACCCAGCGACTGGATTTTGGGCTTGTCTGATAAGTGCTCTGTAATTTTAGTGTTTGACAAATTGAAATATATAACCATCTAATGCGCTGGTACGTCGAACGAAAATGAATCCAGAGTCAGTATTGTAGAACAAACCATTTTTAGAATCGTTTGGGCATATGAAATAATCGATATATCCACGCAAAGTTGTGATACTTCATTAAAAAATATATTAGAACGAGGATTGGAAGCACTGACCTGGAAAATATTTTGTCCATCTAGTACGATATTCAACATTAAGCTAGTTTAGTGAATTTGATTTCTTTTTGCTTGTTCCCTGATGTCACGACGTAGAGCCCTTTCCTTAGTATTGTTATACTTGGATAGGTTATCTATTACATTATTCATGCTACATTTGATGATTATTCGAGAGATACTTCGAAATGAGGTTACGAGGACCGACATTAACGACATCACTAGACTTGGAACTGATGGGTTGCAACATGAGTAATTTTAACCTAAAAATATAGGAAGGTGAAGAGAGGATAAGAGTCAGAGTAATTAAATTTATCAACCAGGCAAACAATGTGAATAAACATAAAGGGATGTTCAAAGTTCTGCATGATACACAGCCAATAATTTTCTGGCCTCAAAACTAACATAGTAACAATCGTTTTGATCGGCAAATAATACTCACGCAGAAACTGGATGTTTTCTATCAATCTACAATACGATATGTATATCACAGTCTAGTAACCCTGATAAAAAACTTCAGTGCTGTTAGGTGCTCTAGGACACATATAATATATGTTGATGCCATAGAAGAATTGGTGATCGTGTTATAAATGAATCACGCCCTATTAGCCTGCAGCCTAAAATGTTCTGGTAGATATGTACGTAAAGATCAGTGTCATTTCATCCATTTGTCAGTATTCAGTAAACAAGTCTGAGACGCTTTATCTTCAGGAAACTAACAAAATGGGCGTCAAATGTCCAGTGAAGTATAACGTGGCTACCAAAAAGATGTGCGTTATACGATTTCAGGTACCAGTAGTCTGTTTACATAAAATTTACTTCATGAAAACAACAAGGTCTCGCTTGCTTTTCTGATTATCTGCATACTAAAACTAAATATGCAGAAGTTAGCCATATGCATCCTTTTTGCCTCCGATGGATGATTAATGAATCTCAACTATTCCGTTTAGCATGGTCATAATACATTTCTGATGGTCGGTGGAGCAAATTTTCTAGTGCTCTTAATTCCGATTTGATCCCACTTACCGATAAATTAATAAGCTTAAAAGGTTATAGTGATAACATTGAACCTTATCCAAACTTTTCGTCAATGTGAATGTGTTTTTAGCTTAGAAATCTGATGACTAACAGTTGGCTGATTGATAAAAATGCGAGGATCTTAGGTCGATGCGAGGTCAAATTGGCTTGGATAATGAATAACTGATGTTGTTCATTTCCCTTATCCTTATTTCAGAAGTCCCATCCTTGTGGTAGGGTTTCATTCTGCTAGGTTTGAAGCTATTACGAGCTCAGTATGCGAACGGAACAAACACTTGTGACCGAAGACCAATAAGCTAAGTATTTTGATGAGTCCCAGCCCCGCTGGCTACAGGAAGAAGTCCAAACTTGGAATGGGTAAGTATATTCAGCAAACACCAGAAACGAGCGATGACAAAAAACACAAA